TTTTTTTTCTAAATTAAAGGCATCTTTTTTTATAAAAAACACCTTCAATAATCTCCAATAAAATTTTTAGGGGATTATTGAAGGTGTTGTTCTATGGAAATACCTTTAATAATTAATTTTATATTCATTTCCTTACCTTGAACATCGAAATTCGTAGACTGTTGGTACATAAAATGATTAAAAGCTGCGTTATCAACCAAACTCTTAAACATATTTCTATCACACCATTGGTATCTTTATCCTTATCATCGCCACCGACCTTCAACAAATCAATACTGTGCACTTCTGTTTTTACCGGTAAGTTTTTTTTTTTTAGTTTACTGTATTATTTACAATATTGGATAGAGATTTTTTGTTTTTTCAATTTTTTAATATTGACATATGCATGTATATATTTTCATTAACTTTACTGTAAGCATAGTCATCCAAGATTCTATTCATATTGCAAGTATACTGTTTCTATGTAGTACACATTAAATATTGTAGTTTGTTAAACCTTGTAGTATGACATTGTAATGCCGAATGGTATTGTATGATATTGGGGGTCTGAATCATATATATGCTAAATGGTTTGCTTAACCTTGTTGTCTGATATTGTTTTGCTAAATGGGTTTGTATGATATTAGGAGTCTGAATCATATATATGCTGAATGGTTTACTCAACCTTGTTGTCTGATATTATTTTGCTAAATGGGTTTGTATGATATTGAGGGACTGAATCGTATGCTAAATGGTGTTTCTGAATGGTTTACTAAAGGGTGTGTCTTAGCACATTGCTGAATGGTATGCTAAATGGTGTTTCTGTATGAAGTATGGTACTGGTTGTATTAAATTATGTACAGTGTTCAATTTAGACAATCATATTGTGTAATTCGTATAATTATGATCAAAATTGCAAGTATTATGGACTTCGAAATAACATCATTCCCCTTCTAATGAACATGCACAAGATAAACGTGTAGGCCAAAAAAGAAAGGGAATGGGCCTAAATAAATAAATCAAAGTGACTGATACAAAAATTCATGTTGACTTCAATCAAAGTAGACAACTTGTGTCTGAAGGAGCTACCAAGATGGCTATTTATATTGGAGCCATCGTCCGTCATACGATTTCAATTACGTACATCGATTGGCAACGAGTTCCTAATGATATCAAGGATGATATATGAAAGTCGGTTGTGGTATGTTTATTTAACTATTTCGTAAAATTAGTTAAATGATCAATTAATTGAAATTCAATGTGTTCATACTAATTGTGTTAACTTATTTAAGAGTGGTTCGACATCTCAATTGACTGTAAAAAGATTGTGTTACAATTTGCTGGGAAAGCATTCAAAGACTTTAAAAGCAGATTGACAACCCAATATATTTTACTGTTGGCTGGTGAAGGTGATGTATTGGCTGTTCCACCAGCGGCATATGCAAATGTCATGAGTGTTGAAGATTGGATAAATTTTGTTCAATATTGGCTTTCAGAAGATTTCTCAGTGCGCAAACCCATTTTCATTAAAAATTATTTATAAGTCTTTATACAATATAGCCTTTGATCTTCATATGTGATTGACGTAATTTTTTGATTTTGTAAAAAATCAAAAAACAACAATGAGACATTCGGGCCAAACAACAATATCATTATCGAACAACAAGAAAGGGATATGCAAATGTGAAGTATCAGCTTGTATGTATTCGCACACTTATTTTATACTCATTAATGAATATTTATGAACATTCATTTCATACATTCTGATTTTTTTATTACGATAATCTAATAAGAATCAACGAGCTCTGGCACAGAAGTTTCCAAATAGGATGTCTAGAAACAAGGACATCTATGGAGGGATGGATCTTTTGTAGATGAAGCAACTGAGAAAATAGAAAAAAAGATTGTTTGTATAACTATTTTTTTGATATAATGTATGATTGGCATTGTGGTTGTATCCATGAGTGTATACTGGCTTGTATAGATTTGTTGCTACAGCCTAACTGATTACTGTCTTTCAGGATGATTATGCTGTCAAAGTCAACTCTGGTGAACTGGCAACCTAGTCTGGCAAAGATTCTTTGTTTTTAGCATTAGGTACTAAAGAAAGGCCTGGTCGGGTTCGTGGGGTTGGTAAATTTGTCTTGCCATCAATGTTTTTTTATAAACAACCAAAAACCCCACGAATGAGAAATGCACAATATGAAGCAATAATTGAGCAACAACAGCAACAAATTAATGACCAAGAGTAACGCCTCAATGAACAACAGTAAAGACTCGCTGCTTTAAAGTTCATATTGGCAGCAATGCAATGGGTTATGCCAGTAGGCCGGCCTGATAACATCGTCCCCGTACGAGAAGCTTTCGTTGGAAGTAAAAAAGTGATCTCATCCTCCGCTACCACCCAAGAAGTATGATATTATTTATAATTTGAATATTAATTTATTTATTATATTGATTGATTTGGTTTTAATACTTATATCTCATTAAATATTGTAGCAGTATGTTCAGACTCATAGTATGACCTTTGCTCAGGCTTTCATGGATGAGTTATCAAAATATTCGCTGGAGTATTTATCTGGATGAAACTTCATAACCATTGAGTCTGAGGAAGGGTTATTTGATAAACCATTATTTTCTTTCATTGGTGTGGAAGAGGTTAAAAAATTTTACGAACTGGATGAATTATCAGCTGTTGTATCATTACTTATATGAGGTTGGCTTATAAATACAAATATGCACATTCAATATGTAGTAATCTATATTAGAGTGTAATACTAACTAGCAGTATTATCGTGCAGCTTCCTATATAGAGAGCTTAAAGGGAGACAGTTGACTAATAGATTTAGATTCATTGACCCCAGCTTCATTAGTAAGCAGAGTGGCACAGTTGCTTATCGTGCTAATCATGTGATCCTATATATGAAAAGATCAACTGATTATTATTTGCTCCCGTATACTGTGTTGTAAGCTATATTTCAACCTTACCTAAATCTGATCAGATGCGTAATCTGAATATATCATTGTTATTATTTTGCAGTCATCATTGGGTGCTGATTGTGATTGACACCAAATCTTTAACGGTATACTTACTTAATTTAGTTAATCCAACGGCAACGCCAACCCCAATATTCAAACTTTTATAAAGAGGTATTACACTTTATTATATTATATATCTTCTATTTCTTCATAAGTAATTTTATTTATGTATTAAGTAATTTTTTTTCTTTTCAATTTAGGGTAATATCTACATTCGATAAGAAGATAAAGAAACTGAAATAGGTGTCATTACTCGATAAATGTGAAATATATTATTTTTATGCTGAGTTTGTGTAGATAAATATTTTTTAAACTCATTCAATTTAATTTTTAAGTACCTCGTCAACCTGATAATACTGAATGTGGATATTATGTTCTTCATTTTACGAGAGATAGTATTACATGATTTTATGACCACACCATTCAAGGTTAGTATAAATTTCATAAATTCCTTATATCTTGAAAAAAATAAAAAGGTACATTATGTTCTCATTTCTTAACATTTACTTCTGATATTTTTTTTTTAGTCGGAGGGTAAAAAAAGCTTCATAGAAGAGGAACTGGATGAAGTCCATAAAGAATGGTGTGAGTATGTATTATCATTTATCAATGTTGATAAACCTTCATGTTAGACATTATTGGTTGAATGTAAATATATATGAAACAAATTGTTATAATGTTTTTAACATGCCATGTTGAATGAAAACTTTAAGTTTGTACATTGGGGTATTGGTTTAATATTATTGTTATACTTAATATGAATACACTATGTGTACTTAATAAATTACTGAATACAATTATTTTAGAAAAATATATTAATATGACAACGTTATCAGTTTTAATTTCGGATGTGTGGTCAATATATTGAAATATAACAATGTTCATTATGTAAATTACAAAATGTAATTCATAGTATCATATATATAAACCAAATGTTTTCTGGGCATAACTATACAATTGACAGTAAATATTTTTCTGAGCATAAACATACAATTGACTACACATATACAATATCAAATATGTTATTTTGATGGGATTAATGAATGCATTTTTAGTAAGAAAACGCCTTCAATCATCCCTAACAGAAAACTCTTCAATCATCCCTAACAAAAACATTGAAGGCGTTTTTTTACCAAAATCGCCTTCAATAATACCAACTAAAATATTTTTGAAGGTGTTTTTTGGATATAACTGCTTTCAATAATCCGCCCATTAAAATTTATCATTGGAAATATTAAAAGCATTTTGAGCAAAAAATACCTTCAAACATCCCTTCTAACTTTTATCTCTGATTTATTGAAGGCGTTTTTGACAAAAATTGCATTTAATAATCACAACAGCAACTTACTTATTGGATTATAGAAAGCGAGTTTGGTCAAAAATGCCTTCAAGAATCCATAGGCCAAAAACGCCTATGGATTATTAAGGGCGTCTCTCTGCGAAAAACGTATTCAATATTTTCTGAAAATTTTTTTAAAGCAATTGGTGAAGGTGTTTTTGCCAAGAAAATACCTAGAATAATCAATTACAAATAATCTGTGTAAAATATCAAAAAAAGCTAAAGAGAGAGATCGAACCTACAACCTTATGGTAAACATCCGTACGATTCAAACATTTTTATAAGCCTGTGAAATTTTTTGGTCAAATTATTAAAGGCGTTTTTTGTGAAAAACTCCTTCAATAATCTTATACAATTTTTTATAAAGTGATTATTGAAGGTATTATATGCCAAAAATACGTCTTTACTATTCACTAAAATTTTTAATAAAAATTATTCAAGGCGTTTTTATCTAGAAATACTGCTGATATCGAGTCTTGGGCGGCGTTTATAAGTACCAACGCCACTATTTGAAAATTTAGTGACATTTTGATAATGAATACTTGAAGTTTTATGAAAACATGGAAGCTAACTGCGTTTGTAAGTGAAAGACCGCTATAAAACTACCGTTAATACCCCATTTCTTGTAGTGAGGGTTCCTATTATGGTTGGCAAGGAGAGGAAAAAGGCATTTAGAGAAATCACGGATAAGCTAAGAGGGCGAATACAACATTGGAGTGGCAGGATGCTATCAAAGGGTGGAAAAGAGGTGTACATGAAAGCAGTGTCGCAAGCGACGCCTATGTATGTTATGAGTGGTTTCCTTTTGCCGAAAGGACTTGTGATGAAATTAATAGCATACTTAGCAGATTTTGGTGGAGTTCGAAGGTTGATAGAAGAAGCATTCATTGGCTGCAGTGGGCGAAGATGTGTCAAAGCAAAGCCTGTGGTGGGATGGGTTTTAGAAATATGGCAAGTTTCAACGTGGCCCTACTGGGCAAACAAGGATGGAGAATCATAAGAAGGCAATGGTCCCTAGTTCACAAAGTCTTAAAGGCAAAATATTTTCCTGGATTCAGCTTTATGGAAGCTGATTTGGGGGTTAATCCCTCTCTCACTTGGCAGAGTGTTTGGGCGGCAAGGAAGGTGCTAGAAATGGGGTTAAGATGGAGAGTTGGTGATGGTACCAAAATCAGAATCTGGAATGATACCTGGGCAAAATCTGGGCAAAGATTAGAGTCATGTAGAGATATGGTTTTGGGGGCACGGTATGAGAGGGGTTCTGAGTTGATAGACCATAACAATAGGAGGCGGAAGGAGTAGGAGATAAGACAGCAATTCTCGATTGAGGAAGCCACAATGATTTACCTCCTACAACTTGGACGGGTAGCAAGGGAGGACCAGCTCATTTGGGGATGGGAAAGACATGGTGAATACATGGTGAAATCTGCTTACCGTGTCCTGAACTAATCTCCCAACGACGGTGAAACTGTTGCAACAATGCATGTTTTTTGGAAAAAAAACTTTGGTCTTTGAACAAGCCTCCAAAGGTCAAGATTTTCGGTTGGAGGTTGAACCATGGAATCTTACGGGTGATGTGCAACCTTATAAAAATGGGAGTTGAGGTCCAAGAAAGGTGTCAAAGATGTGGGGTGCAAGATGAAACAATCATGCACATAATCAAAAGATGCTGCACGGCAAGAAACATATGGAGAATCTGGCATGGAGGAGAGGCATGTACCCAGACAGACCTTTAGTGTGAGACGGGTTAGCTGAAAAACATGTGTGAAAGGATAGACAGTAACTGTCTGGAAACTGGTTTGATTACAAGTTGGATGATATGGCATAACAGGAACAATTGAAATAAAAAATAATGAAACCAGAAAAGCAGAGGAAATAGTGGCGTTTGTCTTAAAGTAAAGGATGAATACCAGGAAGCTCAGTCACGAACGAGTGGTGTGGGGTGGTGATAAGGGACGAACACGGAGAAGTATTAGGAGCATGTATGAAAACTGTGAAACACGTCAATGACTCAACAACGGCATAAACAATCGCAGCTATCACAGCCATTGAATTTATAAAGGAACTAGGTTTTCCAGCAGTCACATTGGAAGGAGATATAATGGAAGGAGATGTAAGGAGATTGGGACAAGACTTCATACATTTGTCTGCTGTTTACACGAGGAGAACAGCTAATGAAGCTGGACACAATTTAGCTAGAAGCGCCCTTTACAGTCCAACGGAAACTGTTCGATGGATTCATGAATGCCCTTTTCTTATTTCTAATATTATGTTTACAGACTGTACCCGGTTATTAGATTGAATGAATTATCTTTTTCTCAAAAAACTATTATTTTAGTTTATTTTGATATGTACAGGGGATAAAAATAAAATAATTTTATTTATTAATCAAAATTATTTTTTTAAATTTATATAATTTAAATTATTTATGTAATTTTTAAAAATATAATAAAATACGTAAATTTAATCTATGACTTAAAAATAATTTTTTTATTTTAAAAAAATTAAATTATTTTATATTATAAAAATTATTAATCTTTATTATAATCTTATCGTTTTTTTTAATACAAACAAAATATAATATAAAATTATTATTATTTTATCTTATTTATAAATTTATATACGGAATATAAATAAATTAAAAAATTTATATATTTATATAGTATTTATTTCACACTAAATGTGTAAAATATATAAATTAATGTCATATTTTGTGTTAACACCAATCAAAAACATTTTTTTTTTAATTTTTATCCAATTCACATATATTTTTAATTTTAAAATTATATCACTTTTATATTATTTTATATAATATTATGTATCAAATCACTTTCGTATTCTTTTTCAATATATTTATATATCATGTCATAAGTCACGCCTAAAATTGCTGTCTAAAATCAAGGACAATGGGTTTTTACTTTGATCAATTTAAAAATAAAAGAAACTAAGAGAAAAGAAGATGAACCCCATCTGTCTCCACTCCAACAATCATATCTATTTCAACAAATTGACGACAGCATATATAACTAGTGGAAAAACCAAAAAAAGGAAAGGGTGATTCCATCTATTTTGAAGCTAGGGTCATCCCCCTACAGCTACCACATGCTAAAAACTCAGTGATTTCCATCAATGTAAAATCATAAGTTACTTTAATGAAATCTAGAGGATGACCTTAAGTTTCTCATGGCACCAAGAGGCCCTACATAAAAATTCTCTAACTGAATCTTCAAGGTACATCACTGTCTTTCATCTTAAACATTTGCTCCAATTCATTCCGACATTTGGTTCCTTGTCAAATCAATTACTAACGTAAAGTGCCTACCTCCAATTCCTCCAGCACTAACCCTATCAAAAAAATTTTCCACCAAAAAAAATAGGTTCACTCTATGCGGTTTCAAGTAGTAGCCGAAGTCTGTAAGGGTCCACTTGTACGGCTAACTCTCCCTCTCCCTTCACGCCCAGCTGAACCCCTAGGTCGACCAGAAAATTCAACTCGATTCCTGTATTCATTTCTGCCAAAGTTTCGATTACCAACATAGTTTCGCCCCCTGAAGCTGTTACTTCGAAACCCTCCTCTTCTGGAAGGCAAGCTACCTCTTCCAATACCAACTGTAAGAAACAGCAGCATGGACTTCATCAGACAAGTCTGATCTTTATAGTTCATGCAGTATCAATGTTAACCATCACAAATTAATCAACATCCCTTCCATTTCTTTTCCCAGTTTTAAAAATCATGCAGGGTTTTCAAGCAGAAATTTTATATTCTAATTAATAAAAAGAGCACATCAGTCAGTTCATAAAACTTTATACTTGCCTCTAGTTGAAGTTCTCTTTACCTCCACAACAGCTTGACGCTCTCCAATTGTAATTGGTGAAGCCTGAATAGTAAAGTTTATTACTCAATAAGCCCAACGCCCTAAAATGTTAACTTCGAATAGTCTATTTACTGGTACTCGAGAAAGAAAAAAGAGAAGTACCTCACTTAAGTATTGAGCAAGGGATGACATTTTAAGTGTAGCATTTGTAGCTATGAGTGATGATAATAGCTATGAGTGAAGATAATTGATGGGATCAGCTAGCTAGGGCAATGACATAATTTGGAAAGGAAAATCAAGACCTTAGGCAAGTAAGGGAAATATTGTCATCTTGCCACGCTCAAATGACTCAGTTGGACATAAAAGGTTTGAAAGACACGTTAGCAAGAACCATTTCAAGCAATACAATATCTTATAGCTATCTTCACAGCACTACATATGTGAAATGGTTCTAATAAATGCCCATCTAGAGAATCGGGAGCCGTGCTTAAAGTTTCATCTAATAGAAACAGACCAGGATAAGCATAACCTCAGCCAAATGAGATCTTGCTGTATGCATGCAAAGTCACCATGCATTATGACCATTGCATGTATGAGATCACGCTTAGCTTTTTAAAATTAACCTACAACATTCCATGTCGCATTTTGCAGGCCAGGGACACATTATTTCAACAGAAATATGAGCAAATAATATAAAGCCTCATATTCAATGAGCCCAAACATACTTAAAAAGGTCACTAACCTAGAGACATAGTTTTTCTCTCATTCCCAAATGGATTTTTTCTTCCTTTTTTAATAAATGAAATAAATTTTGGTATATCTTCTGAAAATTTTGTCAATCTCAATCCAAAATCCAGGAATCTAACCAAGCACACTTCCAGACAAGAGCCTTGGCCATGCTGAACTCATTTTTCCTAGTTCATGCATCAATTTGTAATGGAAATCATGTGAATTTCAGTACACATATTTTTCTTCTATTGTTATAACCCATCTCAATACAAGGAGAATGCCAACAAGCTCTTAAAGATGAAGCGACTACTTGTTAAAAAAATAACTGATGGAAAGGTTTTGCTAATGTCGTATCTAGCATGGCAATGTATGTGCATGCAAATGAGGAGGCAGAGAACAAAAATCTAAATGAAGATTTGGAATCTTGGACAACAATAAAGTAGTTGCATATTAGTGCACAAATGATTAGAATTCAATAAAAGAAAATAGGGAACAACCAAGGTAGGAGCATAATCAATACACACACCAAGCGATGATCTTTTTACTGATATTTACGATGCAACTGATTTTTGAACAATTTTTTTAGTATCATTTTCTTTGAATGTTTTGCCAAAGTGAGGGGGGGGTTAGGGGGTTGGGTTCAAGGATATGCAACTCATCCCATATAATTTAGATATCAAGGGCAGTAAGAAGTATAGACTCAAAGAAATTGATAAACTGGAAACATTCTATCAACATCTATCAAACAAAGGCCACACCTGAATTGCATCATTCATGGAGCTCAAATACAGAAATTCAACGAAACCAAAACAGTACCCCTGTTGCTGAAGAAACAGAATATAGAAATATCAACAAAAGAAAGCAAGTGAAAGATAATATAATCTATTCATTCAATGATCAGCAACCAACCTTATTGTTCCTAACTTGGACACCCCCTTGCTTGATTGGTCCAAACTTCTTAAACTCCCGCTCCAGTTGTGCAGATGTCAAATTGAAGGGCAAGTTTCTAATGTAAATGGAATGGTCCCCAACTGTGAGTTAGATATGGTTAATACACGGTTACTCGTACTAAAAGAAATTATAAGATCATTTCAGTTCACAAGTAACCAGAGTCAAGAAGCAGAATATATTTTTTTATTCACTCAAAGGTACTTCAACAGTCTATTTTTGTAAACAAAAACATTCACACACACGGGATACCTTCCTCATGAATGTCATTACTCTTAGGGGCATCAATGCTAGAAGGTGCAGATGATTCAGGTGAAGCAGGTGCTGTGGACACAAGAGGCTGGTTCTCCATTTTCTTTGGTGTCACTCTTGTGGTATTAGTAGGCACATAGACTCTAGTTGGCCCCGAACCTCCTTTTGTTACTTTGACCTACAACAATAACTAATAAACTTAAACATACAACTGTATGCAAACAGTGGCAAATAAAACATATTCACCTATAAACTCACAATTGATGCATAAGATTTCTTTGAAGTATCATCTTGGGTTGAAGAAGACGCTGATTCAACAACTATGGGAATATCATCACCATTTGAATGAGAGTGTGATTCCAAAACAGCCTCTTTTTCATTGACCAACCGCTTTTCCTGGTCTGATGGCTCATAGACTTGCTCAGCAACATTTTGATTCTCTTCCACAGGGGCAGTTGCTGGATCTGGTGAAGAAGGATCCAGAACTTGAGTAGGCTCTGAAAGCAAAATTAAAAGAATATGGAATGAAATCTCAATACAACATACAGAAATGAAAAACAAGAAAACAATGTTACTTTACCAGGTTCTTGTGTTGAAGGCACTCTAGGAGCATCATGAACACCATTTTCCAAGGATTCACCATCTTCTACGTACCTAAATACATCATTTAGAACAAAGTACCCATTGTCTTGGGGAGCAAGGAAAAAAGATTGTGCAAATTTTCTCTTCAAGTTATCCTTGCCCATTAGACATCCAGTTACTAGTACAGTTACCCCTTCCTTATAAGACTTCTGAGCATCAGCAGTATTAATCTCAGCCTTATGGTTTGTGTAATCCAAGGAAAGGATCTTCTCATTAATACCCTGTTCAAGAAAAACAATATTGGAATTTTCAAGAAAAACAATATTGGAATTTCTTTGAACTGGGTGATTCAGATAGCAATTACATACAAAACAAAATTAAACATTGTTTGTTACTGGAATCTTAAGAGGATGCTAATATCGCAGTTTCCACTTGGAAAAAGAAAAAATACATTAAAAGGGAAGAAGGTGGAAAGAGAGGGAGCTAGAGCAGTGTGAATGACCGATTTCTCATGTTAACCAAATTGAGTACTCTTATGTTCAAGTTTACTAGATGGGCAATGTTGTAAATAAGAGCTGCATATTATGATGACCAGAAAATTGAGACATCTTTCAGAACATAATGCCTATTTTTTGACAAAACCAGAGAAAAGCAACAAGTCAAGCTCCAATGAAGCTATATTAATATCATTATTGAAGGAATAATAGCAGAAGAAACAAACAACATTTGTCAGCATATAAAGAAGAAAAAAGGTCCATCGAGCATAACACACATTTTATTGCCAAAATAAAGAATCCCACTTCTATGACATGGAGTTATCCTTAGAAGAATTATATGCTGACTTAAAATCCACAACAATTTATTGATAAAGAACTAATAACTCAAGCACCAATGCTCGGATTTAGCACCATCTAAATTATAAACATTTATAACGCCCTTTAACCATGCACTAGGTAACAAAAGACCATTTGCTGATGCAAAAGTACACTGCATATAGAATAAAGCAAATTATAGGAACATATAACCTGCTAAAGATTCACAAGAAATGTTTAAAGATGAATAATCAGAAAATCTTACAACCATCTAAAACAACAATATGGAGAAGTAATAACAAAACCCAAGGAGCTTACTTGCATGGTTGTCACTGATGTCATCACACCATTGGAATCCGGCCGGCTTATCACACTTGATTCATGATAGAATCTATGAGCCAATTCTGGAGAGTTGTAAAGAATGTGATAATATTGCTTGACAAAAGCATTTCCAACAACTTGGGCACTGGGAGCAGCTGGGGGAGTTGCTGTTTCCAATGCCATCTACTGGAAGAAAACACCACAAAGAAAATCACCACCAGAATATATCTGAAAAAAAACTTCCCCTTAAACCACAACCTCTAAGCTTAAACATGGACAGTTTTACACAGCCAGGCAGTACCAAAACTATAGAAATGCATGTTGAAATAACAAAACCGAAAGAAATAAAAAGAAAAAGCAAATTACAAACAATTGCCATTACAAATTGCTAAAGAGAGCCTAAATACCAACAATTTTAATTAAAACTTGGAAGTATAAAGAAAAAAAAAATTATAAAAGAGCTGAATTTGCACTATTTTACCCACATTCTCTAAGAATAGACTGCTACATTCTCACGAAAATCCTAACAGTTATATGCACTAAGCCATGCATTCATCTAAAAACAGTAAGAAAAACAAGCTAGATCTTCGAAGAAAAGGTAGCACATTCCTCGGATCCAAACAGCAAGTAGCTCAAAAAGAAAAACAATAAACCCTAAAAAAGAAAAAAGAGAAATACCCATTGAAAAAAAAAAAGAAACAACTTTTGATAAATCAACCAACATTTTTAGGCAAATTTAAACTATAAACTAAAAAAGAACATAAAAAACCTATAACTAAAAATAAAGTTTTTAATAAAAAAGAGCATATCATAACTAAAAAAGCTTTAAACTTATAATGCCCGATCAAAGAAATAACAATAAAAAAACAGAGCTTTAACAAATACCAACCAAGTAAAAACAAAATTAAAAAAAATTAACTTCTTTTTTTTAAGATTAAAGAAAGGATGGGAAAAGAGAAGAAAACAAAATGATCTGAAGAAAATGGGAAAAAAATTTACCTGAAAATGGGAAATGTTGAAGGTTTTGTGAGTAAATGAGAGTAGTTTTGAAGTTTTTGTTATAGTTGCAGGGAGAAGAAGATGAAGAAGAAGAAGAAGAAGGGAAGAACAGTTGGAACACGAGAATAAGAAAAGAGAGAGTGAAGGATACTTGGCGAACTGTGGAAGGTATTTTTCTCTACTTTGCCTACAATGTTTTTGTGTTAGATCCTCTCTATACGGTTTTGTGGCTTCTTTTTAACCTTTTAAGAAAATTTTGTCTTATACTATATATTTTTTTGACAGAGTTAAAAATATTAGTATTTTAAAAATATTCATAAACCATTTATTTGGACTTTCTCAAGGCAGAAGAAGGAAAGATTCTAGATTACTTTTTTTTATTTATAATTTTATATAAAATCATATTAAAATAAAATTTAATTGAATTTGATTTCAACACGAGCAATTTTTTTTTATTTAGGATTAAAAAATTGATTAATTCAATCTTGAAAATAAAAAATTAAATTAATTAATTTTTAAAAATTTATCAAAACCAATCCATCTATTATTAATATTGAAAAATAATAAAATTCAATTAATTGATTTTTAAAAAAATTACCAAAATCAATTTATTCTTAATATCATAAAATAATTAAATCTAAATAGGTTAATTGGTTGGATCAATTTGATAAAAAATCAAAATTTTCATCATTATTGTTATCAATTTTAAAAAATAAAATTTGGAAAACAAAATATATTTGTAATTATTTTTTTATTTTGCAAGCAAAGACAGTTGATTACTAAAAGAGAAAAGTCTATTGCAGTTTCAATTTCCTTAAGGTAGTTGATTGTTACATATGGAGCAATCAATTGCCATTTATAAGATAAATTTTGTAAATGTACCGAGAACATGACCTTTCATTAAAAGTGCCACATGATGGTTTCATGATTTACTTTTATTGTTTTTGTTTTTTAAAAATATATAAAAAAAATAGTCTTTGTAGTTTTTTGTTGTAAATAAAAATTCTTGGGAAAGTAAAAAGAGAAGATTTGATGACATTTTAGTACAAAAAGACTACATTTCTTATAATATTTGTAGTTTTTTATTGTAAATAAAAATTTTTGAAAAAATAAAAAAAAAGAAAATTTAGTGAGATTTTGGTGCATAAAAATTACTTTTCTTACATAACAAAGGTAGCCTTTGTAATTTTTCGTTTACTTTTTTCTTTATCACTTTTGTTTTGGTGCACAAAGACTAATTTCTTGTATAAAAATTATAGTCTTTGTAGTTTTTGTTACGAAAAAAATTCTTAAAAAGGTAAAAAGTGAAGAATTTGTGAGATTTTAGTGCACAAAGCTACTTTTCTTATATAAGAAAGGTAATCTTTGTAGTTTTTTGTTGTAAAAAAAATTCTTAAAAAAATAAAGGAGAATATTTGGTAAGATAAAAAGAACGAACATAGTAGATGACTGCAATTTTATGGTTTTGAATTTTTTTTTAAATTTTAAAAAGCACTATATTTTTTTCATATTTGAAACATAGAAGATTAATTAAAATAATAACAAATTAAAATAGATATTTTTATATCAATGATTTTTTTATATGAAAAATGTAGTAATTGATATAATATAAAAAAATATTACTGTGGTTTTTGCTAATAAAAATCACGTTTATTAGTTTGAAAACGTAGTTGATAATTTATTAAAAATTATATATATTTTTTATTTCAGAATATATTTGATAATGAATAAAAAAGTTGAATTTGAAAATTTGTTTTAACTACATTTTTATATAAAAAATTTGATTTTTGAAGACTATATTTTTTATATAAAAATCGTAGTCTTTAAACATATTACAAAATCCGTTTCTAATATAAAAAAATGTTATTAAAAAGCTAACAAAGACCACATTAAAAAACATTATCTTTGTTAATATCATTTAAAGGCCACTTTTAATTCATAAAAATGAGTGGTGTTGATATTTACTTAATAAAAATGATTAAGTCCCATATCTCATACTTAAACTAAACAAATTATGTTGACTTGATAAAAGTCATTGCCTCACGTCTAACCTTTTTTTATTTTGCTTTTGTTTTTTTTCTTTTAAAACATTTAATAAATATTTTTAAAATTATAAAAAAAAATTTATAATATTTTATTTTTTATGTGTGAAACTTTTTTATACCAAACTCTTTTGTTTTTTTATTTTTTACCCTTTTAGTTTTTTTTAAATGTTTAAGAATGATTTTAAAAATTATAAAAATATTTTTAAAGATTTTATTTATTTTGGGGATTCACTTATATCAATTTTTTTTTGCTTTTCCTTTTTTACCCTATTTTATTTTTTAAAAAAATATTTAACAATATTTTTTAAATTATAAAAGTATTTTTTAGATTTAATAGTTTCTCTTTTTCCTTTTTTCTTGCATATTTAATAAATTATTTTTCTAAAAAATTATACGAGATCTATTTAATATTATTGATAAAAATAATTTTTTATTTTATGATTGTTTTAATTAGTTAATTTTTTAAGAAAAAGATATCGATAGAGTGTCAATATATCATATGATTAATTTGGCTTGTATTTCTTTTCTTTTTCCTATTGTTTTATTTTTTTTATTTAGATAATAATAATAATAATAATAATAATAATAATAAATATTTTGCATATGTACAAAAAAAATGACTTTTTATTGAAAGTGCTACGTGGTTGTTTAGTGGTTCTCTTTTTTTTTTTTAATTTTTTAATTTTTGCTTTTTAAAAATATATGAGAAAAAAATAAGGGTAATTGTTCCTTCATTCAACCAAAAAGAAAATGAGAAAAGGGGTGGGCAGATGGTTTCTGACATGAACAACTAATAAACACCTCGTTTTGACATAAAAAAACGTAATTAAAAATCTAACAAAACCATTATGGACATCCATTTTTGTCTGAGGTGCTAGTGAAATTTATATTTGGATCTTTTGGGGATTGTTGGGCCTTAGAAGTATTCATGTTTGGGCTTTGAGCCTAATAATTGTTAATTGAACGTGGGCTTTGAGCCCAATCAATATTTATTATTATTATTATTATTCATTTTTAATTTTATTCCTTAATTTTATTTTTTTAATTTCTTATTTTACTCTTAATTTTTTTTGTCTTTCATTCTTTTATTCGTGTGTTGTTTTTAACATGAAAACTAAAAGAAAAAGGAAAGTGAATAAATTAAATGTTTGGAATCCCATTTATGAATTGGATAAAAAGGTTTTGGAATCTATTTGCATAAAATATGGAAATCATAATAAAATGACAGCATTGACCCGAATTGAACAAAAATCAAATCTCATGATTCGAGCCTTAACTAAATCTGTAAACCATAAAAATTACTGCTAAAATAGGCTATAAATTAAACGTAAATTCACGAGGAATGAGGATAAGATTTTTAGTTTTTTTGTAAGTGAAAGGATTTCTATTTCTTTATGAAATTTTTTGAATCTAGGTTAGTTTGTGTGAAAAAAATTGTTTCTGATAGTATGCTTTTGAAAGAACATTAGTCTATTTCATCAGTGGTTTCTATTCTTTTTTTTTTCTTTTTGGATCAAAGTTTGGAAGTTTGGATTTCTAGAAAATCTAGATTTTTGGTTGAATGTTTGAATTTGCCTGTTGAAATTTCTGGCCAAACTTGAATTTTTTGATCAAGTTCTAGCTAGTTTTCCAAAAATCAATGATTAATCCCAGTTTCTAGCAACTGGATTTGAGGATTCTATAGAGAAGTGAGATAGAAAAAGAGCTAGAGAGAAAGGGGTTGAGGTAGGTCTGAGGAAAAACAAGGACTTTGCCTTTTATAGCAAGCCAAAGCAACACCGTTTTGAAGACCTTAGAGCCGCATGCTGATCCATTGACTCACGTGCTAACCCGCACTCCAGATCCGATCCGATCGCAGGTTATTTTATTTTATTTTTTGTTTATATTTTTATTTATTTTATTTTTAGATTTTCTTTTGTTATTATTATTATTATTATTGTTGTTGTTGTTTTATCTTTAATTATACTTTTATTTATTTTAAATTGAATAATTTATTATTTTAAAATATCTTTATGAATTTTGTTTTATTTATTTTATTTTAAAAAATAATAACCAAAAAAATGTTTCTAAATAAATTCATGAATCTTACTAAACTATTGGAAGATTTTTTATAAATTCTACCAAATTATTAGAGAATTTCATAAATCGATTTTTATAAAAAATTTATTATTAATAAAATATTTTGTTTTGATCCTATCAAACTATTGGAGAATATACATCTTAAATTAAATCTTACCAAACTATTGAAATATTTAATATATTTTCTAAAAATAAATTTACAAGGAAATCTCACCAAACTATTGGAGATCTACAAAAATTTCACTAGTTATTTGCTTAAAAAAAAATACATTAATGAACCCGACAATTAAATCTCTTCAAAATAGGACACTAGTCTTCATAAATACTCATAAGGTGAGATAATTATCTTAAATTGCTATCAAACTATTGGAGCAATTTTAAGATCAATTTTCAATATTAAATATTTTTGGTAAATCATAAATATGATTAAGGCTTGGATAATTAGAAATTAAACTGGCACTATCTTTTAGATGAGCACTGTGAGGGTGTTATAACCTTTTTCATGTATAACCATATTTTTCAAACCTAAAATCTTGTCTCATAGATTAGAATCTACCATTTAAAGATATTCAAGTTAAGTTTAGGACTTTTCTTTAAAATGGTACAGATTCAGTTAGGTAGCCAATCGTACCTAAACAAAAAAGATTGATGACAACTCTTAAAATCCATGTCTAGCGATAGGTTTATGGATCTATACGTTATGATAGTTTGGTGACTCCACTGGGGATAAAAAAAGTCAAGTTAGTAAATGATTTCCTATTATCCAAGCGTAATCTAATAAGTTTAAGATTTTTTTCTTTTCTTTTTTGCTTGTGTTTTATTTATTTATTTATTCATTTTATATTTATGATTCATTTGCATATGCATAACATGAGCTTTACACTTAAGTTCTTTCCCTAAGTAAGGAGTAAAGTACCTACAACTTCATGAGATTTCATATCTCCACATGGGCTAGCAAAATACTCCCACTCAAATTGAATCATTTTTCCTTGTAGCCTATAATGGATAAAGATTGAGGTGCCTTACTAGTCTGTGATGGATGATGATGTAAGGAACAATTTGAGAATCTTTTAGAAATGACCCAAGCTACATATAGTTAACCTTA